GGTATTTTCTTATTGAGATTATCCATTGTAATCTATTGATACAATGATGATATGTTTTATTGAGAAATATCCATTGTCCTAGAGTGGTACAATGATGCTATATGAGAATTATCCATTGTACTATAATGATACAATGATGGTATATATTTTATTGAGAATTATCCGATGTACTAGCGGGTCACATCGATGTTATATTTTATTGAGAGTTATCCGTTGTATTGCCGGGATACAACGACGACATCTGAGTATACTCACATGAGATAAATTAAAATAGTGGATATCCATTCACCCTTAAAAGTGGTGCAATGATGTTTGAGAATGGAATTATTTCCATTAATTTTGTGAAGTCGGAAGGAATTAGCTACTCCTTTGACAAAAGCCCTAAGATGAAAATTGATAATTGAAACATCGAAGGAAATGGGACTAATGTCACTTTGAAACGAATGAGGATGGGAACCCAACTTGTGTGATTGGAGATCCCATGAAGCAAGTTCAAATGGGTAATAACAAGTCTTCCATTTAGTTCTGCTAGCCTAACTAAACTTGCCCATTTCCATGATGTGAGATATAGGCTAGAAACCACATTCTTTGAGAGGGTGAGCTAACAACTCTTAATGATTATCATAGCCCATACTTTTAGGGTGGTGTGAAAAAAGCGGTACACACTTGATGATATCACCTATATGAGTGTGAGGTGGGGCCGCCTCCATGAAGCATGACAAAACTTCTAGAGCACTCATGAAAACCAAGCACGTGCATGGCCTTACGGCGCACAACGGCGTAATAATGAGAAATTGTGCAAGGTGAGACACGACCGTTAAGACCCTGATTTACCAATAGTAGCTTGTTGGTTTCAAGAAACTATAGATTTCACCATAAGCTCGATTTATTAAGACTTAATCGTCTCGGTTTGGTTTCAAGTCTACAGACACCAAACTTAAAGTCTCATTCCTTTAATCCAGCAGATTTTCTTCTAAACTATTCTCAAAATATTCATTTGAAATATGTGGGGGATTGTTGGAAAAATAGGAGTATTTCAAATGAATAAAATATTTTATCTCTTTAATTTATATTCTATCATTTAATTATTCAAATAAATTGTCCTCAAAATCTGAACTGTTTTCAACATGTGAGCTCCTAGTTTTCTATTGTTATTAAATGATATAATTGTGCTTCAATGTACATGGGAGTTACTTTACAACTCAACGTTAATATATTTCACTTATAGGAACGCTTCTTTCAGTACTTTTGTCGACATTAATTTGTTATTATTTTGGCCGTTTCTAATCTGGCCAACAACGGTTCTTTTGTGCACCTATATATATGTTTTGCAAAGCCAGAATGTTTGGAAGAAGAAAAATTATTATCTTTTGAGTTCAACATCCTCTAATATATTACAATGCTGCTGGATTAATATTTTATACTCTCGTTGTTCTGTTACCGGCTTACGCCGAAGAGCTCGTTTTATCTTGGGGAAAGGTTTTCGCTAGTCGGAAATACTTTCTTGAGGACAGCGTTTACGCGACTCGAGCTATATTATTATATTTTTATTTTCTAACGCTTTTTTGCAGGTTTATCTGGCCGAATTCCACCAACAATCAATTCATATTGCACAACAAAGCTGAGGGAGAGTCGGGAAACAAGCAAAGTATGAATTGAGTAAGAAATTTGGCAGAGTAAACGTATGCTATAAAATCAGAATTGCAATCTCTTTCTACGAGTTGGAAGGTGATGTTTATATGTACAAGAAAATACTTAATGTACAATTAAAAGTAACTGATCCACTAACTATTGCCACATGTAAAGCTTAATTTGGGAGAGAATATCATATTGATTAGTTAATTGGTACTATTGTACCGACATTTGTCCTTTGCGTACCAGAATGACCGCATAGGACACACGTGTGACTCTAGCAGCTAGCAGGTGTAATTGAACTTCCATATAAATAACATCTTTGTATCATTTTCATTTTACATTGTACTTCCACTCTCTCCATAGTCCTCATATTTTACAACCGGTTGTACGATGACTATCATATAGTATATACGGTACATCAATGTATATTTGTACTCCCTTCGTCCCAATTTGATAGTCTCATTTCTTTTGGGCACAAATTTTAATATAGTGGTTAAAAAGGTAAAAATTGTGATTGAGATTTGAGTATAATAAAGTGAAATGATATGGACCACATCTTTTTTTTAAAAAAGGGAAACATGACCATCATTTTGGGACATCCCAAAAAGTAAATACAGGACTATCATTTTGGGACGGATGGAATAATATCTTACAACTTTTAGTTTGTTTATACTTTCTTGGTTTAGTCTCCTCCCTCCTCCCCCTCCTCCTCCCCCTGCCTCCCCCCCTCCCCCCTCCTACCATGGCACATACTTACCTGGATGGGGTCAATGGGTGATCAAGAAGACCCATGGCCTAGGTTGCTGACTTCTATTGCACTTTGGAAGGGTGTCATGACTGTCATCCTAAGGTCTACCCATACGGTGGAGCCTACATTATAATTTGTGGTAACGGGGTCTGTGTTCGCGCGGCCCTTCCAAACTTGAGTCCAAGTTTTAATTAAATTTTGTTGTATTAAGGATGTTTTCTTTTGGATTGGTTTTAGTTATAGATCAGACCAGATTAGATTTAAATAGACTAGATTGATTGCGTCAAATTTTGCTTTGTGTTCATATCGAGAGACGGCCTTGTTAGTCAAAGTTGATGGTAAAACGTGAACACCCATAATACGAGAACCAACTTACAATGCTTGATCGAAGTTAAATTTTATCAAACGTCACTGTAATGTTTATTCCACACCAAAAGAACATTGAAGCTTGTAAAAGTCAGGGAATTGCTATCCCACCCATGGTGTGTATATGGGTGACATCCATTGCACTTTCTTAGATGTATTAACATACTCCTTCCGTATTAAACTTTTATTTTAATGAAATTTGGGATGCAATTTATTATACTAAAGAGGATTTTAAGCAAACAAGATTGGAAAAAAATCAGTCATCACTTTCTATTTTGGGAGAACTATCAAATAAGCCCTTGAACTTTCATAAAAGTGCAAATAAGCCCTTTTACAGGAGGCTTTGTCCGACTATCGCCATTTGGGACGGTTTCCGGTGGAATTTTTTGATGATTTTTTTTTACCATCTTTTTCATTAAGTCTAGTTTATCCAACCAAACTTCAGCTAAAAAATCAATCGATAAGGCAATCAAATGATTTTCTGAAATATACTGCGCTGCCTAACTGCGCAGTTATCTTCAAAAATTCATTTGACTGTCTTCCCGATTGCATGTTTAGCTGAAATATGGTATGCATAAATTAGACCTAATATAGAAGATGGTCAAAAAAATTCATCAAAAATTTTCACCGGAAACCGTCCCAAATGGCGAACACCGGACAGAACCTCCTATAAAAGGGCTTATTTGCACTTTTTATGAAAGTTCGAGTGCGGATAGTTCTCCCTTCTATTTTCATCCACCCATCTGGTTTTTAAACTATGGGGAAACACCAGAATCACATCTAATTGATTTTGGTACGGCCAAATTCAGTTTCTTTAGAAGTTTCTTTAGCATTCTAGTTTTAGAAATTCTCTATATAAGACGAAAACATATTAAAGGGACAAACAATTTTATTATCCAAATAGGACTTCTTGGGTCCTATTAAAAGAATAAATTGTTTAAAATTTCTCGAATGAGCTATATTTTGAGAATAAAACATAGATAAATCCTATTTATGAACTTTATCCTTATTTTAGTTCTACTTGGGCAATTTTCTCTTCTAGTTTTTGTGATTATTTAAAATTACCTTAATTCCACCACTTATATTTTTGGAAAAATAGCCCCATAATAGGACTAAACTTATTATCCCTAAATGCACAAATAAGACTATGTTATTTATCTTCCCAAAAAAGGATTAGAGTACACTCTATCTTCTTATTCTACTCTTACCATAACTTAATAGGATAATCATATTTTACAATATAATAAAAACAAAAAATAATGAAAAGTATTTCAATTTATAAAAATATAGTAAAAAAATATAAAAATAAACTAAATGTATTTTTAAAAAATAATAAAATACTACCTCCGTTCTCTTTTAATTGCAACATTGGAATTTTTGCTCTATTCACATATTCTACTTTGACTATATTTTATTAATTAATGTATTATTATGTATAAATTAAATTTTTAAAAAATATTGTTAAATTCTTTTCATTCTAAATTTTCAAAATATGAATTTTTTAAATTTTTTACTAATAAGGAACGAAAGATATTAATGGTCAAACTTGTGCGCTGGCAAACGTGAAATGTTGATTGTTGCAATTAAAAGGGGACGGAGGAAGTAGTAAATAGTAGTAAAAAATAATTTAAAAACTTAAAAAATAAATAAAAATAGATAAATGTTATTTAAAAATATAAAAGTGTTGGCCTTTCCCGCAGCCTTCGCCACCTCCCAGCCATGGAGGTATAAAATGTTGGAGGCCTTTCATACTTGTAGTTTAAAACATAAGGTATAAATATCCAATGGAGTAGAAAGAATGCACACGTTAGCTAGGATTCCAGTTTAGCTTAAGATCGATGATCTTTGAAGGGATATTGCTTGTTGTCTTGTTGAACAAGTTCATAAACCGGATTCGTCTCATCACTTCCATTTTTAATGATACAATCATTTAGAGAATAAAACACACCAATTGATCAGTACCTTGAAACACATATCCATGACAATGACCGGAGCCATGATTAGGGTTCTCCACAATAAAAAAGGTGGGATCGCCCGACCAAACGTTCTCTCATACCGACTCGATAGAATGACGAAGAAGTAAATCACGATATGATCTCAAACAGTTTCTGCGTGAGGTAGTTTAGGGCTTGATTCTCACCCAATTATCTCAATCAGTCACCGTTGAGCTACCCGTGCAAGTATGATTATGGTTCTCTAGACATAGCACATAACAACTTTGCTTTGATTGCTTTGATTCTCTATAGGGATACGTTTTCACACAATTTGATTATAATTGAACATTTGAGGATTTTGTTGCAAAAAGCATGAGGGTAGTACTCAATAGTTAATATCACTCAAAAACTCAAGCTTGAATTGCACATTTAAATTAGATAGTATTATATACAACTCTCTGCCCAAATTTCGAATATTTCATTATCATAATGACATGTAGACTTCCATAGTTCAAGTAAATTGGAGTATAACACAGAAGAGGCCGGCCATATATGACAATAAATCTTCGAATTTGGTGCACGTCAACCATGCATCAAGCCCAAAAACAGTTAAACCAGGAGAGACACGTGTTCCTCCTCTGCACAATCATGCACCAAGTATTACAAATATAGAATGTAATGTAAAACAAGGACATATATTGAAGTGTTTCTTAAGAAAATGGTCAAATTAAACTCTACTAACTTAGTATGGGATGGGCAAATCCACGTCACTACAAAAATGCACGGGTCAACGGGAATATTTGACGGGACGCCAAAATTCATATACGATTTAAGAGAGATACGACAAATTCGTGCAAAAAAAACTTTTGGCACAAGCTATTTGGCACGAATCATTGGTCAATCTTAATAGGAGTTGAAGAGCACAAGAAAAATGTTAAGTACCTTAATAGGAGGAGGAGGAGGAGCAGACATGTTGTGGTCATGCTTCTTGTGGCGGCTACGACTGCGGCTGCCGTGAAGAAGATCATCATTGTCGTTATTGTTGTCGAGGCTGTAACGAGGCAACTCGGTCTTATGTTGTTTCCGGTTATCTCTGGCCTGAGAGAAAACTACTGTGTAACTTATACTCTCACCTTCTCCTCTTCCTGGCCCCTTATCCCATCCCCCAAATTGTGGCACTGACATCCCTCCCCTTCTCTGCAGTTATTATTATTAAAATTTTAATACTATTACTTAATAGGGAGTATTATTAAAAAAGAATGCTTGAGTTTACAATTTCTCATAACACCATACATATTCAAGATGAGCATGTTAGGCAATGTCTGCACTGATGCAAGTCTTATATTGATATTCCAGGTGCATAGATTATAGTGGGAGTAGTATTCTAGGTCCACTATTACAATTGAACAAGAATTATGGGAGTAGTATATAACCACATTGCTTGTGGTTAATGAATTTAGAGATGTGTTACTAATGAATTTCCTTTCTATTTTATGAAAATTTGTTTGTGATTTTTATTGTGAAAGGGCTTTAATTTCGTTCAAAAATAAGTTGAAATGTATTTAAAATAAGGAGGGTCTGCGGGAGGAGGCCATATGCGTATCAAACCCATCCTTGAGGTCCCATCACAGGATAATTAATTAGGATAATATAGATTGGATTCTAATCACAAGCTGACAGATATCAAGTAAAATTCCGATTCAGGTACTTGCAGAAGCTCTATACATTTTTACACGACAATCTCTCACCACAACTATCAAAATTCGAACCAAGACTTGTCACTAGTGACACCTCCTATCTAGTAGTTGAGATATGCCCACCGATAGGACGCAGTAATAAAGGGTATGATTGAATCGGTTGGGCTATATACTAATAATACTGATGAAAGTTAATTCTCTTGTATGGAAAAGAATAAACGAGATAGTTGATAATTGAATAATGTTTAGATCAATTAATACACCATTCTTTCCTTTAATTTCCTTTTCAGATTTCCACTCAGACTTGGTACAATTAATTAATTGTTAGGAAAATGAAAGTTGCGAAAATTAATTCAGATGAGAAAATAATATTAATTGCAGAACCATATTCATAAAAGAGATCGATGATAATTTTCGAATGGAATAAAATTAAAAATGAAATAAAACAATAATTTATGCACGATGAATTTCTTTATACAAGCAAAATTATTCAAGGTTGGAAACAGGATGAATTTATTAATGCAAACACTTGGTATTCTATTGAGCCGCAGGAGCTGCAAAAGGAGAAACAATTATTATCACAAAATATAATCACAACATTGATAAAGCTGTCAAACTACACGAAAGAAATTAATTGGGCATCATAACAAGTAATTATTATTAATTCTCAAAACGAATCATAATCAGTATGCATTCATTACTTACCTCCCTATGGCTATGGAGATCCATTGGGATTTGGGGGGTGAGACTTAAGGTTTTGAGAATAGAGATGGAAGAGAATGGTAAGGATGTAATGCTCTTCATTGATTCACCAATATTTATACCCCTTCCTCCAATTTTTCTGGATCTCATATTCTCATGATTCAATAAAATTATTTACCACATGTTAAAAAAAAATCTTGTTTTACAAAAGTTAGATGATACACGAGATCTTAATTTTAATTTGAAAATTTTCACAAATACATTCATTTATATATACATTTATAATTATAATATGGATCCTTCAAGAAGTAAATTCAGATTTCCAAAAAATTTTGTAACTTGAAAGGTCCTTTTGGTTATGTGATGATGTACATCATACATTTAAATTACATCTATGGCATTACATGCATAAATATGTTTCATTGTAAGAAATGGGTACAATAGTAACTTCACAAGGATAGTTTACACCATAAGACAATACATTATGTCCCTATAGCACCACTTTTTCCCAAATCCACACTTTTAAGTTTTAATTCTTATAATAATTTCACTAGGTATATTATGGGGTAAAAGATGCATATGGGTTTGGGACGGATTTTAGAAATGCTCTTTAGGGTATGTTTGGGAGTTTGAGAGAAGGGAGGGGAAGTCTTTGAGGGGTAGAGAGAAGGGGAGGGGAAAGAAATGGAAAGAGATTCCCTCATCACTTTTGGGAGTTACAAATTGAGAAGGAGAAAGGTTTTGGGGGATAATAACTAAAATTATACACAAACCCTTTTCCATTGTACATATGATATCATGATATTTTATTATTCTTCTCAAAGTTAAACTAGAAAAGAACTAAATAGATAAAACTAAATAATTAATATATAGATTAACATAAATCCATAAATAGATATAAGTCGTCGTTTCTTCCTACCAAGAGTGAATGAAACATATACATATGGTACCATAGCGACATAGCGCCCAATTGATAGCCCAATCACCAGAAATAATAATATGCAATCTGCAGAATATCAGTTTTTATTAATTAAACAATGCTAATATCGTATAGCTGGCTCCAGACCTTCAGTACTATTTAACCTTCAAAACCTCCCGATTTGGAGGAACTAAAAAAATCAGCTTTTGGAGGGTTTGCAAGGATTAGAAAACACCTCCAAAACATCTCCTCCCAATTTTTAAAACTCTCAAACACAAAAAAGAGGATCATCAACCCTCACATATCTTCCATTCTCCTCCAAAATTCAACTCCCAAATCAATTTCTTGTGCACCACATCATTCTTGAAGGCGCGTTCTTGGGATGTGATACTCACCTAATTGTTAGGTTAGGTGAAAGATACATCTATCACATTGTTATTAGGGTGGACACCAGCCGGTTTCAAGTAAGGGGATCATAACCTGAATATGATGAACCGATTCTAGTTTCGGGACGAATAAGGTTTTTCGGTGTGTCATAAAAATCGAAACGGGTTAGTTCCACTTCAAGACCCATTTTGGAGGAATTGTTTCGTATTGATTCAACGTACAAGTTCTGATCCAAAACTGAAAGAACAGGCAGCGGCCCGGTCAATTTATCTGCTTAATTCTGATCCGGATTTGGAACCCACAATTTAACATTCATAAACTCCTAAAGTTATGCGACATTCTTTGAAACAAATGGACCTAAATAGAACGCGTGTTTACTATTTCTTGTTCCAAGATAGATGCAAAAGGACCTCTTAGTGTGTTTTACACCATTTTTATAAGGGAAAGTTCCCGAAATAGGACTAAAACAGTGTGAAAATTCCAAAATAGGACTGCCATGTTTTTTATTCCCAAAAAAAGACTAATTAATGTCATGTTTAGAAAATACTTCCATGTTTTAAGTCTGGTACTGCCAAAACATGATAGTAATTAGTCCTATTTTGGAATTTTCAAACTGTTTGTCTTATTTCGAGTAATATTCTCTTTTTATAAGTGTAAAATCCCCATGATATACCTAATTTAATCTAGGCAGAGCAACATTTGGTCAATTGGCATAAAAAAGTTCCCCATTTAGCCATCTGAAATTCACACAAATTATCAACATGATCAAGCAGACAAAAACCACAGAGATATAACCTTCTGAAAAAATGAGCTCAATTCTCCTTGAATTGTAATAATAAAATGCATCAGGAAAGCATCTTCTCAAATAGTCAAATGGAATTTAGCAACAGTGCAACTCTAAATTAACTGACCAAAGAGGATATTAGATCTCATTGTTACTATAAGCTAAAAATTGACATGACGATTCACCAACTCAGGCAAACCACAAGGTACACATCTATCTATCTATGTTACAAATATAAGAGAATCTGTAAGACTTACATTCATACAGCATCCGCAAAGATGAACAAGTCAACAGCTATAAGCCCGCACCTCAAAATCTCAGTTAGCTGTGATAAATTAATGCAGCACATCATCATCATTCCAGACGAAGAATTTCATGTACAAGTGCGCCACAGCAATCTTTCTTTGTATCTTTCCTTTTAAATAAAAGTTAATCGCGAGGCCGAGCAAGCCATAGAGCACTTAGTGCACGAAGGCGGGAGAAGTAGTCATTGATGACAAGAAAAGCTCGGGCTGATTGGCGAGTGGTCAAAATGCTGAGCAGCTTTTTCAATGTCTGCTGCCGGAGCTTATCAGCCTGACATACAAACCCCTCAAGAGCTCCAACCTTTCCCATTGCCATCGCCATTTGACCCATATAATTTGCGACATTCCCCGACGAGCTTGAAGAGCTGAGAGTCCCAATCAGTGTCTCAGCCAAAGATTGCTGCAACGAGTCCATCCCTTGGGACAATGCATCTTCTCCCTGTTGAGATGACTCTTGCAGGTTGTTGATGGCCATTAACTGCTGCTCCGTCAATGGCTCTAACTGGTTTACTAGCAACTACACAAGAAAACATGTCAGGCAGAATTTGGATAGAAAGTGCTACATCTGATTATCATCATTATCACCTTTTTCCATTATCAACTTTTTAAATCTCAACTAATTGGACCGGAGAAATGAAATTTAGGCTCCGTTTGGATGCACGGATATATGTTGTGGAAAATGTTTTCCATGAAAATAAGTTGTTCTGATCTATACTTCTATGTATAATATGCCTTCCATACCTAAATAAACATGCAATTTGACCAGGCACGTAGATTAAGAAAAAGAAAAATGTGGTTGAAATTTATTTAGAGAGAAATATTATGAACCACTTATTCACATAATGCTTTCCTTAAAAGAAAATGACGATGATTTAGAGACAAACCATAAAGGAAAGTATGTGGCTGTTTTAGGGACAGGGGGAGTGTAATGCTTATCACACAAAAATAGAAAAATGCTGCTTCAGGAAAATGGCTTCGTCAAGAAAATCTAGAAAACATTTTCTTGGAAAATATTTCTTGCAAACATATAGAGCTCTAAAAGAATATTCCACTATAAATTCATGCAAAAAAGATTAAACGAGATGCAAAGTTCTATGTCTGAATCGTGATGCTTCCTGTCGTAACCTTTGTATGAATGAATAATGGGACCAATTTCCAAAACCATTATCACCTTAGGCTATTTCCACTTGCATGGACAACATCATCCCATGGTCATGAATTGAGATATACTCGTAGTTGTTACAGTCATGAACCCTCCCTACAAAGCATGTTACCTGACACGCCTGAACTAAAGTATCTAGAAACTAGTTGAAAAATTAAATGCAAAAAGAGAGTTGCATTAAAGGGATCATTAAAAGTTGTGAAGACAAATGCTATATCCACTTCAAAATTGCAAAGAGACTTGATATTATCAAGAAAGATGAAGCATGCAAAAGAAAATCCACACACTCACTACTCGCACATTCACTGTTTGAGGGGTTAAATGAAGTATGGGCCTCTCACCTTAAGGACTTCAGATGAACGAAAGCCACCCAACCAAAGGAAGCATCTTTCAGCAGGAGTTTTCCACATGCCTGATAAAATATGGAAGACGTCAGCTTTTGCAGCATCCGCTTTTATCCTGAAAAGGTCATCATAGTGTGCCAAGATGCTGTCGACAATAATGCGAAGTTCACCATCACCAGCATGGGCATTAACAGCTCCTCTTAGCTCACTAATTCTTCGGTTTTGTTCATCCGTCCACCGCGAGTATTCTACATCAAATGTCATGGATCCTAGAAGAAAAAAAAGTATGTAACAGGAATTCAAAAGCAGAAATCTGATACAGGCATATCTATTACTATTATTATAATCATCATCATCATCATCATAATTATTGCTAAATTTATTATCATTAATTAGTTAGTAGTAGTTTCCTATTATTATTATCATTATCATTAATTAGGTAGTAGTAGTTTCCTATTATTATTATTATCATTATCATTATCTTTATTATTATTATAAGAGGTTTTTCCAAAAATATTACTAAGAAAAAGGTCACGACAAAAATGTGACTTAGTAACTAATAGTGACTATAATTATGTTCAAAGTTCCTATCGTAGTTACTATATCATAGTAACTTTGATCACAATTATAGTCACTAAAGGTTACCAAGTCACATTTTTGTCCACTACTTTCTCAAGAGTAATATTAGTGGAATCTTTTCTTCTTCTTCTTCTTCTTATTATTATTATTTTCTATTTCAGCTTTAGTCAGCTTGGTATTAGTCTCTAGCCTTATGTTTTCCATATGATGGTTTCAAGAATAACCACATGATTAAAATATATTTTCTATACTTTGCATTAACAGAATAACAGGCAAGGATTTACAGTCTGTGCACTTCGTGGTGAAAATCAGAACAAACAACCCAAAATGAGATATTCTTAGGACTCGGATAAAAAAGTACACATACCACTTCCGCTCATGGATTGCGATTGATCTCCTGAACTTGAAATGAATACTCCCTTCATTGAAAAAAGAATGCTTCATAAATTACACATGCTCAGTTACAAACACTGGTAGTGCCGTCATTTACTTTTCACTTTCATTTTAATTTTTGAAGATCAAATAGAACTCCAAATTAAGTGCTCAAAATACCTGTTGTCTAGCACGCTGAAGCTCCTGCTCGAGTTGAGTGAGCTTTATTCTACTGTTCTCTAACTGTTGCACATATGCCTACATCAGCAATGCCACATGAACGAATGAGTTGAAGAGTCAAATATCATCATAATCTAGGCAACAAAACAAAAGGAACTAAAAGACATATTTAGGAATAATGTAAAAAATGAGACTCCCATATTTTCATTGGACAAAATATAGGATCACTTTTTATTTTTCAAAAAATGAATAAATAAAACTAAAATAAATCAAACTTTAACGTTCTCTCCCACGCCACTTCCCAACTGTCACTGTTGGTGCCCAGCTACCTGCTGAGACCACTTCCAAATCCAGGAAAAATGTTCTGAAAAGAAGTCGCAGGAAAATTTGCAAGTAAAATTCAGCGTAGTGACTATTTCATGTGTGTGGGCGGCTGGGTCACTGGTATTAAATACGATTCTTATACGAATAGTGACATATTAGGCTTTTTGGGTTTCCTTACAAGTAATCACTTTTTTTGTCCACACAATATTTCAGTTCTCCAAAAAATTATTACCCAAAGACGCAAGAGAATTTATACGAACACAAGGACACACTCAAGTACTCACATTAGCCATAGTCTAATGGAAGACGCACGGTTGTCACTCAAGTATTCACACAAGGACACTCACTGATTCTAATTCACGGTTGTCACATTAATTAAAGTACTCGCTTCTATGGAAGACACTTATGCTATAAATTTCACATCATAATTCATTTAATTTTATTGGTTCTATTTTCCTGAAGTTCATAAAATAGAGGTATGACAAAAAGGGCATCATAAAAGAACTTTTTCGTTTCACTGAAGCAAGGTGCCAAGGTCCACAAAAGCTTGCTTCTTCATTATCATATTACCCTCAGATCTTGCACAGTGTTCCACCTAAGAGATTTATAGTAGATTAAGTTTTCTCTATAAATACATATAGGGGGCGGATCAGGTACAAACAGTGCTTATTGTGCAAATATTTGTACAATACATCTTTACACTATTTGTATTGCATATTAACGTTCAAAGTGTTGCATATTGTTATTCAATGAAATAAGTAGTTGCATATTAATGTTCAAAGTGTTGCATCAAAAAAGAGTTTGGTTTTATTACCAAAATACGACCGTGCATGTATAGCCTTTAGATCAACTCATCGGATGGCCAAGATGAGTTTGTAGTTTGTAAAATTTGAAGGTGTTTTGAAGGCAGGGACGGGCTTGAGCCCACCTTCGTGGGCTGGTTGTGGATGGGGTTTTAGTTTTACTTATTAGTAGTATAAACTATATGTTATACTTTCTAGTTTGGGCCTAATTAGGGTTCAATTAATTCAGGTTCAATTAGGGTTTCTGTTTGGGCTGTTATTAGTAGAGTAATTAGTAGAGTTAATTTGGGCCTGATTAAGGTTTACTTAATTTAGGCTCGAATAGAGTTTCTGTTTGGGTCTATTATTAGAAGAGTATTTAAACCCCTTGTTAGGGTTCATTCTTGCTCATCAGTTAATAAAATTGGAATTCATCCTTTTGGCTCTGGGCAATGGCTTCTACCGTTCATTATTCTGGGCAACGGTTTATTCCGTTAATTTTTATCTTCTGTTCTCACCGAGTCCGACTTGCCGGATCCCGTTCCCGCCGGAATGACGAGATCAACCACTGAACGTTTGTCAGAGGTTGAGGACGAACGGGTTTTGATGAACCAGAAGCTGGACGTGCAAGGAATCCAACTGGCAGAGATCGCAGCCTAGTTGGCTGCGCTCACGAAGGCTCTCGCGCCGCCAGCGGCAGAGGAGCATTCATCGGCGGTGGCTTCACTCGACACGGCAGCGGCATCTGCATTCGGAACTGGACTGTGCACCACCTTACTCATGATGCTGCCTTCGTTTGATGGAGCGGGAAGCTCCCCAAACGGTGGCGGACGAATGGAGAGTCTTGTCCATCTGGCTGCACAAGATAATTCCTCTCTCTCTCTCTCTCTCTATATATATATATATATATATATATATATCAAAGGTACATCATACTCCGTATATTTTGTAGTAACAAGTAAAATAGTTATTTCAACTGTGAAACACTTTTCAATATTGGAAGATACAAAAATGATGAGCAATAACTTGAGATAGGAAATTACCTTCTTCCTTAAGCGGCTCTTTCTTGCAGCTTCACGATTTTGAGCAAGCCTACGAAGTGTCTGCGCACACAAAGAGTATTAGAGATTCTCAACCCAGTTGAGTTTTAAACTACTTGCTCGTATTGAAAATTTAAAATGCATGTAAACCTTTTGATCTTTAGTCTTGTCACTGCCATCAGAACCCACCAATTGACCATTTTGAAACTGTGATCAACAGAAATAAATTTGTAATCATTATTATCTCCAATCAAAGGAAAAAACTTCTAGACCAACTAGAACTGAAACTGGAATGAATCCTCGACCACATAAATATCTTTAATATCTGATCAAGACATCGATTAAGTGAAAGGAAACCGAAAGCTAGTAAAAAATGCTTCATTTCATTTAATAGAATAAAAGGAAAACCAAAGCATACTGAAAGACTGAGAAACAAGTTCATGGTTGTTAAGTGTCATCAAGTAATCAATTTGGTTGTCATGAATTTTTTCTTCATGGTTGTTAATCACTTTTTTCTTCATGACTTTTTTTAATCTTTATATAACAATAAAATGAATCAGATCAATGCTTGTTGATAATCTTATTTTTTTGGAGATAGATGCTAATATGATATATAAGTAACCCATGTTCTATTTTGTATTTTTTTATAATCTATTATGCTCAAATATTGCATATGGATACATGTCGCTTGGCATAGCTGCCACTCCAACCTCCACAATCAAGTACAATAGACAGAACATTCCCAAAGGAGTTGAGAAACCACCACTAGGAAAATCAATATGGAGTATTTGGGTGCATTTTAATGTACCCTGGAGCTTTTATCTTCAGTATCTGCATCAGTTGAAGTATCTGTCATAGGGCTGGCTTCTGTCATCCTGAGCTATCACTTTTCACTGGATGAGTACTTTGGGTGGGGACTCTACAACAACCAATACCACATTATTGTGAAGGCAACATGAAGAAATGTCAAAGATGGAAACAAGAAAAGAAACAGAAAGAACAACATACACCTAACAGACAAAACTGAAATACATTGGCGATGATTACTACAATAGATTGAGAAAGTATGCTATATAGGTAAGTTCATAACAAAATGATACTTACTCCGTTCCACAAAGATAATCTTTTTGCACACGAATTAAGCAATGATGATCGTTCAGTTAATTGGAGCATTTAATTTTACAGGCAATCTCCACTTTTATCCTTTGTAAGTTTAACAGTTTCCTATGTAGAATAGTATTTAATTTTGATGTTGGTGAATCAGCAGGGGTAATCCTCCAAAATTAAATTTTAAGAGCACGCTTAATAAAGAAACTTTATTACCTTTGGGACGGGCTAAGATGGAACGTTTGGACAATGGACTACATTTGTGTGCATTATCATTGTGGGAGGAACTGAAATGGAATAGTAGACACTCTACCGTGTGATGGGAGGACCACAGGAGTATTTCTCACAGCCTGTTTGGATGGAGTGTTTGGAGGTGTTAGTAATGGAAGTGTTACTAAGTGTTCCCGAGTGCCTGTAAAGGAAGGTAAGTGTAAGTGTTAAACATAATCTTACCTTGTTTGGGAGAGCTAAAAATGAAGTGTTAATAATGGAAGTGTTTTCACTTAAATTGACAAATATATCCTCGTATCTTTCAATTATCCTAATTATCTCAAACTCAAACTAATATGTCGGTGCTATGTTTCCAAGGATGTTTATCCAGTTATCCCAATCTACGGCCAATTATCCCAAGAATTTTATTTATTCCAAGTCTACACCCAACTATTCCAAGGGTGTTTATCCCAATTTACAGAATACCATTAGGAATTGAAAATCAAGGATGTTTATTTCATCAATAATTCAATATATATGTGATTGATAAAGCTCGGTACAAAGCTCCTTTGAAACAAACGAATTATGTACTTCGTATATACACTACAGGATCGTGTATATATATATACACAGTTATACACAGACTCAAACCCAGAAGGACAGTGAGGATTGAGAGGCGTAGAAATTAGAGCGAGAGAGACCATTTTCAGTTCAGTGAGAATTAAGCACATAGATTTATTAGCAAGGACGGAATAAATCAATCGAGGAAGAAATCTCTGCTGGAATCGAAAAAGATGGAGAAGAACGAAAAAGAGAAGACAAACTTGGAGAAAATGAAGAACCGGCTCTCTATCTGTCTGGATGAAGAAGAATTGCCAAAGAAGAATGGGGAGTAACGTGAGAAATAAGGGCAAAGTTTGTCAAACACTTCATTACACTCCAAATTGGGGTGTTAAAATTTTGATGAATATAGGTGTTAAGAAGGTTTTTTTAACACCCTCAAACACTTACTAACACCTCTAAGAAGATTTAATTTTTCATCCAAACAAGTGTTGAACTAAACACCCTTTAACACTTCCATTACTAACACCCTCTAACACTCAATACAAACAGGCGCTCAGTTTCTCAGTAATAGGTTTCTCCAGAATTCAGAGTTTAAGGTTCTGAAATCTAAACCGATCTCCATGAGAGCACATAAGTAAATGATAGTGTTAATGAAAAAGGTAAGATTTCATCGTTGCAATAAAGTAACACAAAGTCAATCTTTGAGCCCTAATCAAGAAGAATTTCTTAGCTCGCCCCATTTAATTAAAAAAAATCAGACTTTCTCTCAATTCAGAAACAGCAAATGAGAATCTGAAAACCATCAGCAGAAATTCGTATGGTACTCGGCATATCTAGAAATCCAAATATACAATCCAAGCTGAAATTGAACTCCAGGATCAAAACCATCCAAGGAAATCCAGAAGTCGTAAAAAATCTAAAGCTGGGTTTGTAACAAGCTTTCATAAACAGAAACGGAAGGCTTACAGGAAGATAATAAATGAAAGCTTCTTTCTTTTTCCGGTGGCTCCGGCTTGAAGGCCCGCAAAGATGCTTATTTTAAACTTCAAACAATGAATGAAGCGGCGTCTTCCATGTGTTTCCGATAAAGGTAAAATCCACGGTCGGCGATGAGAGATGATGACGAAGAAGAGCTGAAAATCGGAGTGTACTGGGCTGCGAGTCTACGACAACACTAATTGCTGAATTTGACTTGCGTTTTGCTCTGTATCTCTGTGCGTACTTGATTTTCTCGCAAAGTCAACCAGCTATGCAGCCCCCACCACTGGAAATAAATTACTTTTGTTCCAAATGCATTTTAAGGTACCGAATAATGATATCAGCTCGTACATAATAAATACTGAAGTCAAAAAAGTCCGGCCCGCAATGACCCGCCCTGGTCCGAGACATTTGGAGTGGATCCGGCTCGCCCCATCTTGCAAATGGGGCGGGTTCCCCCTACTCCGCCTATACAATGGGGCGGGTTCGAGGTATTAGTATTGACTCGTGCCACTTCGACCCGCCCCGATCTGACTTGCTCAATATATAAGTATACATACTTTTTCTTAAATTATATTACAAATATACTTCAACATACATATTTGTGTATACAATAAATCATAAATTCTTTGATCTTATAATATATTAATATATATATATATATAGGGGAAAGATCAAGTACAAACTGTGCTTATTGTGCAAATGTTTGTACGATGCACCTTCACGTTATTTGAATTGCATATTGAGGTTCAAAGTGTTGCATATTATATAGTCATAAAATAGCAGTTGCACATTTACGTTCAATGAGTTGCACCCTGGAAAAGTTAGGTTTTATTACAAAAATGCCACCTTGCATTTATATCCTTTAGATCAACTCATCGGATGGCCAAGATAAGTTTGTACTTTGTAAATTAAGCATGATTTGTATTTGATCTCTATTCTATATATATATATGATGGATAGTGTACCCGGGGGGGTAGCTTATCCGAGGGGTTATTACGGGGAGTAATAAGAGAGAAGTCAGAGCAAGTAAATATAGAGAGAGAAAGTATATTATAAGTGTGGAGCGTTTTCAGCGTGTTATCACTTGGTTACAAATGGGGAAATGGGGTGCTATTTATAGTAGCAATAAATGCCGGACAGGGACACATGTCAAGCATCCATTGGCCGAGAGGTCACGTCAACTGGTTGGCGCTGGCAGCCGCATGTGGCCGCATTTAATGCGGCTGTTGGATGGGACGTTGTACAGGGTACGGTGATCTGTACGCATGTGGCGCGGATATTATGTCGGGAGAGGTGTCCTCGGCTGCAGAGGACTAACCGAGGGCTCTGAGTGCCGGGGACCCCCTGGGTGCCGAGGGCTCCAGGTGCCGAGGGCTACTGTTTTCTGCCGTTTTTCTCCCAGTTTCTTAGTTTGCTTGAAAACCCATTCTGTGAGAGTTTTGAGCCTTCGGCCAGGGGGCCGAAGGCTCCCCAGTGTGCGCTGTGGGCTGCTAAGTGCTTGGGGCGCCGTAATTTGGGGCCTGCTATGCTTCCTGGGCCGGTTGGGCCTTTATTGGTGTAGTAGGAGTCTGTGGGCCGGGGGTTCCCGGGCCATATACTCCATCAGGAGTCCCTCACTCCTTTTGCCGAAAGGTACTTGAGGGAAAAGGAGTAATTTGTGCTTGCCCTTTGATGTTGTCCCGTTGTAATCTCTGAAGTTGGTGAGGAGTCGTTGCTTTCATGTCCCTGCCGAAGGCAGTCCCTCAGTTACCCACATGTCGGGACTTGAGGGATTGCTTGGCCGTTTGTTGGAATTTTTCACCATCTTGTAATTTAATGATTTTCCCGAGGGGGTCCTCCAGTCCCCCACTCCTTGAGGCACTTGTAAAGTGGTGAAAAGGAGTAGAGTAGTTGTGCTGCTGTCGTGGGCCGAAGGCTGACGCTTTTCGTTTCATTTTGGGGGGATGCCTCGTTAAAAACCTCATTGGGAAAAACCCTGGGGGGGGGGGGGAATCCTAAGGAGGGAAAAAGAGTGCACCGAATTCCCCCAACGATGAATCGAAAATGTGAAACCTTGGTCAAAAATGGAGAATAATGGTAATGTCGAAGGCTCTCCTTGTTTTGAGGGCTCATGTGTTGAGTAGCCGGAGGCTTGCTGTTGATGTCCTGGGAGGTGGCGAAGGGGAGCCCCTCAATCTGGGGATCGAGGGCGTGATGGATGAGGGCAGTAGTTGAATTGTCACCGGGGTGTACCCTGCTTGCTGATTAGTTGGTGATGAGGATATCCGAGGGCTCCCATTACCTGTGTGCCGTAGGCTATCCGTCAATGAGGCACACTCCCCGGGGGCTACCCGGCCCTTACAGTGCTGAGGGGGAATCCCCGAGGGGTGGCCTTATATGAAGCCTTGGGCTTCTGAAGGAGTGATCCCGAAGGCGACTGTTATGTACTGTGTGGGCACAACTCAGGGGCGTCTCTGGGTAAGTGTACCCGGAGGCTCTCCTTGATGAAGTGGAGTGAAGTAAGAAAATCCGGGGGGCTCCCCAGAATATAGCCGTTGGAAATATAGCCGTTGGAATATGTAACATGAGGATATAGCCGTTGGGGGGTACACGTGGCGCGTGATGGTTGGCTGTCCGTGGGCGGCGTCACCGGTTGGGCGAAGACACGGCGTGTAATGATGACAGTCCATCCGGAGGCCCGGTTTCCAGGCCCAAGCCCGGATTCCAGCGCCTATAAATACCCATGGTCGGGCTTCCTTCCCCTTGTGCGAAATCCTTATAGCGAAGCTCTGCCAAATTTTCTAGAGAGAGAAACAGCAGCCCTCGATCAGATTCTAAGGTCAGTTCTCCATTCGCACTTCACCTCTTAGGTAGCTATCTTTGTGGCCTTAGATTAGGTGGGTAGCTTAGAGTACTTAGCGTCTCCGAACCCTCGACGTAGTATAGCAATGTCTTCACAGAGTGATTCTCAAGACATCTCGGGGGCGCCCTCGATGGAGGATGAAGTCCTCTCGGACGTGGAGTCCTCAAACGAACAGTCCTCGGCCCAGGAGGATGTTGCGATGGCAGTAGAAGTGCAGAAGGAGCTGTTGGCTGAAGTTGAAGCCGAGGGCTTCGAGCAGGAGGTGGAAGACGAAGAGCTGGCCCTCGCCATGCAGGTTGCAGAGGAGGAGGAAGCAAAAGAGAGGACGAGGGTGACCGTGGCTGTCCTTCCCCCTCGGGGTGCTGGTGAGGCCAGCACCTCTCGGCCGCTGAACGCGGTTCCCATCCGGGTGGCCCCCGGAAAGAAGAAGGCCAAGGTAGCTGCTCCCAAGAAGAAGGGCAACGTCGCAGATCAAGGGAAGCCCCTCGATATGCCCGAGGGGTACTCCTACCTGAACACCGCCGCCTTGGAAATAAGGTCAAAGGTTGATGCGGCGGACATCTACGTCACTCAGCTTCACGTGGGCCCCTCGGCCATCGTGGTGACACCGGGTCCAGATGACGTCCTCTCCCGGGCTCCCGAGGGCTGTATCGCGGTGCACGTTCTCTCGGTGTCCATGGGGCTCCGCTTCCCCCTGCACCCTTTCCTCCGGGAGTACCTCCGGTTCGTGGGTCTGGTCCCCTGCCAGCTGACCCCGAACAGCCATTCCTACATTACTGGCTTCCTCCAGCTCTGCAAGTCCCGGGGGGTGACGCCTAGCCTGGACCTCTTCTTCCAGAGCTTCAATCTGTGCCGGGGGGCATGCGAATGCCGAGGGCTTCGCAAACTTGCAGCAGGTGGCAATGTTCAAGCTCTTCACTGAGGCGCCCTCCTCGAACAAGGGGTGGAAGGACCGGTGGTGCTACGTGAAGCTGACCGAGAGCCCCTTCCCGATGGAGTTGCGTGACCGTTTCAGGAGGCACGAGAAAAGGAGGAGCGCCGCCCTCGAGAAAGACGGCAGGATTCTGGCCATGATCCTGGAGGGCCGGGACAAGAATATCACCATTAAGGAGTGCACCAAAGAGGGAGATCTCTACACCCTCAGGTTCCGGAGGTATCGCTTCCTGGGGGAAACAGATGAGAAGTTCCCGGTGTTTGAGGGAGCCTCCGGAGGTAGTGGCTGAGGGCACTCTCACCTTCATATCTTAGCACATAGTTCATTTGCTTGTTTGTTTATTCTTTATGCCATCTGTTAGTGACCCCTCGATTTTAACCCCCACATTGTTTTTGCAGGTGTCAGTATGGATCTCAATGCCTTTGCCAACCTCAAGAAGCAGAAGGTGAAGGTCTCGGCCCAGAAGGAGCCCGTCAAGCAGAAGCCCCTCGGGGAGATGAAGAAGGGCGGTGAGCCCTCGGGGGAGGCCGCAAAGCGAAAGGCCGCCGGCAAGGCCCCAATCCCCGAGGGGAAGAAGCAGAAAAAGGGGGACGCCGGGAAGAAGGATCCCCTGGTGGTGGTGGTGGACGAGCATTCCGCCTCCGAGCCCAGTGCTCCGACTGCTCCTTGCCCGCCCTTGGGCAAAGGTGGCGAGGTAAGCTTGCCTCGGGAGGACATACAGTTCTCCCTGCCGAAGGGGTCTGCCATTACGCATGGCACAGTGGACCCCCGGGAATTTCTGGGCGGGGCTACACCTGCTCTGGACAGGCGGGCCCTCGGGAAGCTGGATGATGAAGCCCTCGAGTCCAAAATCCTCCGGTCCTCTCTTACCGTAAGTTCTCCTCCTTCCTTTCTTCTTCTTTCTTTTCCCTTAGCATAGTGGCCCATGACTTTATCTGTTTGTGTGGTCATAATTTTAACCCCTTGCTTTGTTGTTTGTCTAAACAGGCTTGCATAGCCCTCGATGAACACGCCAGGAGGTTCGACGAGTGGCGCCTCCAGAAGGCGCAACAGGAGGAGTCCCTCAAGAAGCTTATTCACGATAATGCCGAGGCCGTGAGGCAGATGGCTCAACTGGAGAGGGACCTCCAGCAGGCGAGGGCGGAAGCAGAGAGAGCGGACAAGGAGAGGGTGGAGATGGAGAAGGCGGCTGCCGAGGCTGTGAAGAAGGCCCTTGAAGACGCCGAGGCCGCAAAAGCAGAGGCCGCCGGTGCTGCAGTCGCTGCCTTCATGACCGAGGGCTGGAAGGCTGAAGGCCATAAAGACTGGGTGGCCTCGGTCATGGAGAGTTCTGCCGACGGGTGGGTGAAGGGCCCCGGGGCGATGTGGCTAGCCCGAAAGGGTGAAGATTACTATGCCGGGGGGAGTTCTTCACCCAGGCCCTAATCTACAGGAGGCTCGCCCGGCACCTGAAAATAGAGCCAACGGCCTTCGACCCGGCGGCATACGGTCTCCCCCCCTCCAGCCTGATATCAGAGTCC